TCAGATTCGCTTTTCTTCAGATTCCCTTTCTTGAATTCTACTTTCGTGTTTTGAATTGTTTTAGTTATTTCATTCACCTGTTTTCATGGTCTTCATTCATTTTTTATTCATATCTTCTTTGAGTTCCTTGAACAAATTTTTATTGCTATTTTGAGATCATTGTCTTGTGCATTCACTATGGTGTCATTCTCAGGTAACATTCAGATGGGGTTGTTAATTTCTGTAGTAACCATATTGTCTTGGTTATTCATGTTGTTTGTGGGGTTTTTTAATTATATGTAGGTATTTTGACTTATGTGGTGTTTTTCTTGGTAGGAATAAGTGAATGTTGTATCTTTGTTTGCTATTTACCCAACTTATCATGTTACGGCCCAGCTGAGTAGTGCTGGGTGTTCTGTTTGATGCTGCTTTATGTAGATGCAAAAACAGGGTGAATGAAGTGATCTCAGTGCAGCTAGAGATAGGTGCAACTTTTGAGTTGAGATTCCAGGATTGCCTCCACAGGGTCTTGGGTCAGCAGGGTGGTATGGAGGCTGCTAGGTGAACAGGTTGACTGATAAGTTAGATTGGAACACTTCATGGTCTGGGATGCACAGTGGTCAGATGGCAAAGCACTAGGGGTTCTCAAGGACAAAGCTCAGGACCACAGGTCTATGGTGGTGAAGGGACCTGGAGATCCAGACTGGGCTGAAAGCTGAGATGATGGAGGGTGACTCAACCTGCCAAAACTAGAGGAACGTGCAGATCTGGGATGGGATGGGATCCCCAAAACCTAAGTAAGTCTGTGTGTTAAGATGTTGGGGTGCTAGGGAGTCTTAGGGAGGAACCTAGGGATCAGAGGTCCAGGGTGGGAAAGAATCCTGGAGATGCAGGGTGGGCCAAGAACTGAGATAGTGGAGAGTGACTCACCCTGACAGGATGGCAGTGCGTGCATATCCAGGATGGGATAGCACTTCTTCATTTTCAATAGGTGTTTTCAATAGGTCTCTCTGAGGAGAAAGAGGTATGTCAGTTATTTGAGTACAGTCATGTTTATCTTTTTCTAATTCATCTGGTAAAAGGAGTAAGGTAGCAGGATTAAGAGAGTTTCAGCATACCAGGGAAGCATTTGGAGAGGAAAGCAGAAGTATTTCATAAGAAGTTGACTTGCTGAGTAATGCTTGTTATGATGAGAATGTAGTAAAAGTTCTATGGAATGAGGCACAAAAATGGTGAGAGGAGTGCCTAAAGTGATACCTTTGGTTGTTTTTAGTAAATAAGCAGTGGCAGAGATGGCTCTTATGGAGAATATCCTCTGGCTACTGGGTCTAATTGCTGACTGAAGTACCCCAGATGCCTGTGTCTTCCTCCATTTTCTGAGTCAGCATGTCTGGTGAACTCCCTTCTTTTCATGAACAAAAAGGAAAGACAGAAGGTTATAGTTTGGATGTCCTAGGGCAGGGGCTTGGTTTAAGGCTATCTTTAAGGTCTTAATTGTTGTCTCTTTCTCCAGGCATATTTGTATGGTATCTAGTTGGTGCTGTTTAAGTTTCTTATATAGTGGCTGGGCAATTAACATATAGGCTGGAATACAATTTTGACAACCAGTTAGTCCTTAGAATCCCCATAACTGATTTTGTTTGTTTGTTTGTGGGTGTACTTGTTACTTTTCTGCTGCTGTGATGAAACACCATGACCAAGGGAATTCAAAAAAGGAAGAGTTGATTTAGCTTATGGTTCCAAAGGGGCAAGATTTTGTCCATAATTCCTCTGGTACTTGAGAAAGGAATTTATCAGTTTTCTCTTGTGGGTTCTTTTCTGACCCTTTCGTAAGTGGCATGAAGAAAATAGGGGACTGGACAATTTCACTGTACCCTAAGTTTAGGATCTTTTCTCCCTCTCTGGAGAATAATTTTTGGAAAATTTTGTATTTATAGAAAGTCATGTCCTGGATAGGGACACATTTCACCTGTAAAAAAGCATGATGCCCTGCAGTTTCTCCCAATTGAAATTTAATACAGTTTGTCTTTAAAGGCAATAATAGGCAGGTTAGAAAAATCTGCCATTTAAATTTTATCTTTACTCTGAAGGAGAGCGTTTTTAAGCATACTGGGATTTATGACAGAGAAAGTAGCCCCAGTATCTACCTGGACCTTTGTTTCCTCCTCATTAAAAATTATCTCTATTACTCCTAAGGTATTAGTAAAGAAAAAACAAAAAACTCTGGATTCCCTCAGAGCAGCCCTGTTCTAGTCTTATTTTTCTTCCAAGGTCTGTTACAATTTTTTTTGAGAATTTCATACAGGAATATTATATTGTTTTTGTATTATTTCCATCCCTCCCAGTCCCACAACAATTCCTGCCATCTCCCCCAAACTCTCAATTTCTTGTCCTCTCTTTTTTATTATTACTGTTACACAGACACAAACACACACACACACACACACACACACACACACACACGAAACACTGAGTTCATTTATTCCTGCTCATATCTGCCTGTGTTTAGGGCTGCCCATTTTGGGATTAAATAACCTTTCGGGGAGCTAATCCCTTGAGAAAACTGGTTCTTCCTCCTTCAGCATCCATTGATTGCCTGTAGATCTTCATTCTGAGGTGGGACCCTGTGATATTTCCCCCATTCATCTTGGCATGTCAACTGGTTTTGTCATTATGCAGACCTTGCTACACTACTGTCCTGTGAGGATTTCACTGGCACAGCTTCCCTGTCATGTCAAGAATGCTGGAGATGCTGAACACTCTTTTTTAAAAGTGTTTATTAGCCATTTGTATTTGTATTATTTTCCTTTTTTTGTCTTTTTGAAATAGGGTCTCCCTGTAGGCCCAGCAGGCCTGGAACTCACTAAGCAGACCACGCTGGCCTTGATCTCACAGAGATCCACCTGCCTTGGCCTCCCAAGTGCTGGAATTAAAGGTGTGCACCAACGTGTCCTGTGACACTTGTATTTCTTCTTTTGAGAAGTCTTTATTCAATTCCATAGCTCATTTTTTTGGGTTGGGGTACTCATTTTCTTGATGTTTAATTTTTAAAGTTCTTTGCATATGCTAAATATTAACATCTGCTAGATTCATAGCTGACAAAGCTTTTCTTCTGTTCTGTAGGTTAATTTTTTTTACTCAGTTCATAGTTTGTTTTGCTCTTCAAAAACTTTTAATAAGTTCCCATTTGACAATTATTAGTTTTATTCCCTGAGCAACTGAGTCCTGTTTAGAAAGTCCTTATTTATGCCTATGTCTTTTAGTGTATGCCCAACTTTTTCTTTTAGGAAGTTCAGAGTTTCATGTTTTATATTGGGAGTTTGATCCATTTGGAGTTTGTTATGGTAATGAGAGATACGGGTTTAGTTTCATTCTTCTACATGTATATATCTGCTTTTCCAAGCATCATTTATTGTAGATGCTGTCTTTTCTCCAATGTGTATTTTCAGCATCTTTATAAAAAAATATCAAATGTTATAGTACATGGAGTTACTTCTGGGTCTATCAGTGCCATACTGTTTTTATTGCTATAGCTCTGTTGTGTAATTTGCAGTCAGGCGTGATAATGCTTCTAGTATTGTTCTGTTTTACACAGATGTTTTGCCTATTTGAGGTCTTTTGTGCTTTAATATGAATTTTAATATTGCTTTCTACTTATGAGAAGAATAGTGCAGTGATTTTGACTGGGATTACATTGAACATGTAGATTGATTTTGGTTGAATGTCCATCTTCACAATATTAATTCCTGAAATCCATGAGCCTAGGAAGTCTTTCCATCTTCTGATTTCTTTCTTTGACATATTAAACTTTTCATTGCAGAGGTCTTTCACTTTCTCTGTTAGGTTTATTACAAGGAATTTTTCAATACATTGTGAATAGAATTGTTTCCCTGACTTCTTTCTAAGAATGTTTATCATTGGTGTATAGAAAAGCACCCAATTTTTGTATGTTAATTTTACATCCTGCTACTTTTCCTAAAAGTATCCATCAATTATAAGAGTTTTCTACTGGAATGTTTAGGATCTTATGTATAAAATAAAATCTTCTGAAAATAAAGATACACTGACTTTTTGCTTCCTTATTTTATCCCATTTATTTGCTCTTCTTGTATTATTGCTCTAGCTAATATTTCTAGAGCTGTCTTAAAAGTGGAGAAAGTAACACCCTTGTTTTGTTCCTAATTTTAGTGGAAATGCTTTTGAGGTTTTCCCAATTTAATATAATGTTGGTTATAGGTTTCTAGGATATAGCCCGTATTATGTTGGTAGATTCCTTCTATTATACATTTCCTCAGGACTTTTATCATGAAGGAATGTTGATTTTTGTCAAATGATTTTTCTGCCAAGTCACTTTATTTACTTTATAGTGTTCCTTTGTTTATGCATATTGAGCTATCCCTGCATCTTTGGAATAAAGTCATTTTGATCACTGAATGATTTTTTGACAAGGTCTTGAATTCAGTTTGCCATATTTTGTTGAGACTTTTTGCATCTATGTTCATCTGAGTGATCCATCTGTGATTTTGTTGTTGTGCATCTTTCTCTGCCTTTAGTGTAAGCGTAATACTAGCTTCATAAAGAGAGTTTGGTAGAGCTGGAAAAATGGTTCAGTGGTTAAAAGCAATGGCTGCTCTTGCAGTGAACTGGGATTTGGTTTCCAGCACCCACATGGTGGTTAATAACCATCCTTAACTCCAGTTCCAGGGAATCTGAGACCCTATTCTGGACTCCACAGGGATTGCATGCATATTGTGCACTTATGTCCATAAAGGCAAAACATGCATACACATGATATAAAAATAAATAAATAAATAAATAAATAAATAAAAAATTTCATTAAAATGTGATAATGCTTCTTCATCTCCTTTTTTGTAATTAGTGTGAGAAAGATTGGGGTTAGTTCTTCCTGGAACATCTGATAAAGTTCTCCAGCAAATCCATATGTAATGGAATTTTCTATTTAACATTTTTAATTTCTGCTTCAAACTCACACAGCTAGATTTTGTGGAGTTGTCTGTCTAGTGCTCACTTCAGCAGCACATATACTAAAATTGTAACGATACAGAGATTAGTACGTCCACATGCAAGGATGATAGGCAAATTTGTGAAGTAGTCTATATTTTTCTGGATGAAATTGCACTGAAGGATGTCAGGGGACACTAACTTGACTTGATAGCCATAATGACATAAATGACATAATGACATATTAAAAATAGTATGTGGGGAGGAGCTCTGGAAGGGTGCTGATGGGAAGGGGTATAAAGATGATTAAGATATTGTGTATGAAATACACAAAAATTCAATTTAAAAATAAAACAAAAAGAGTTGTTTGTCTAGTCTGCTTTGGGACTAGATCTGTTTTTCCTGCAGGAGAGCTCCCAATTAGCCTGGTAATTTAGTCAGATCCTGCACACACAGTTGTCATTGCCCTGCTTTGGAACCATCCCTGTTCCCACTGCTCTAGCCCTCACATATGCCCTGCTTAGTTAGTTGGAGCCCACCCACTTGGCCCCCACCTTACAGCTTTGGTCATTTCTCTCTGCGAAAAAGCTCACAAGCATCTTAGTCAGATCCTACCCATTTGGTCGCTATTGCACTATTTTGAGTCAAGACCCATTCCTGATGCTCCAGGGCCCACATTTACTGTGTTTAGCAGATCAAAACATGTCCTCATGGTCCTCATAGTCCTGACTGGGGCTAGGATGCGTTGCCCTCCTGGAGACCTCCTGACTAGCCAGTCAGAACCCACCTACTTGGTCACTATCTTGCTGCTTTGAGACTAGGCCCAGTCATGCTGCTGGAAGGCTCCCTACTACTGTGCCTGGAACTGTCCACTCACTCTAATAAAAAATTAAAAGTGAGACTGAGGCACAGACCAACTAACTATTAATACCTGATCAAAAAGTAATGAAACTACAGCAACGATAAAATCAGAACAGAACTTCAGCTTTATGAAGAGAGGCTAGAATTTTATATCAGAACACAATGAACAAAACAAATCCATATGCCTAGACAGCAACAAAAACCCCACAAATAATATGAAAAAATCAAATGATATGTTGTCATTTAATTCCATCAGGCCTATAGAAATGTTCTACAATGAGAACAACATGGGGAAACCCTAGGACACAAAATTTAAAAGAACAATTATAAATGATCCTATAATTCAATGAATGTAAAGAACACACAAACAACTCAAAGAACTGAAAAGGGTTAGGGATAAACTACTAACTGAAGCTAAAGGAAATACAATTCACAGATGAATGGAATGACAAAGACAACTAAGTCTGGAAAAATGAATTCACAGAAGAGACAGAAATATGGACGAGGGCAGGTTGAAATGAAGATGGAACTGAGAAACTCAATAAGCCAATTTGAAACTACAAGAAGAAGCCTCACCAACAGAATGAATGAAATTGATAACATAATGTCAAGAGTGAGCTATAACATTGAAAACTTGAACAACTTAAGCAAAGAATTTTAAAAAATTAAAACATGGGAATAGAATATGCAGGAAATGTGGGACATTATGAAAAGCCCAAATTTGCACATCATAGGTATCAAGGAGAAGAATGTCATATCAAGGACATTGACTTGATCTTCAACAGGATCATAGAAGAAAATTTACCTAAATTAAGGAAAGACACACCCATACAGACATGGTAAGCACAAAGAACACCAAGTAGACAGGAACAGAACAGAAAATCCTCATGGCATATCAGTAAAAACACTGAACGTACAGAACAAGGAGACAGTACTGAAAGCTGCAAGAGAAAAACAAGTTACATATAAAGGAAAACACATCAGAGTTGCATCTGACTTTTCAATTTAAACTATAAATGCTATATCAAACAGAAACAAAGTATTCCAAGTTCTAAATGATCATAGATGTCAACCCAGAATACTTTACCCAGCAAAACTGTCTATCATAGTTGAAGAGGAAAGAAAAATCTTCCATGATGCAAATAGGCTGAAAGAATTCATGTCCACCAAACCAGACTTCCAGAGAATACTCAAAGCAATATAAGGATTAAAGAATGAAATGACAATACTCAAGGGGCTACAGAAAGAAAAGAAATGAAGTTATAATTTTGGAAACACAACTAGGATTAAAACACAAATTAAAATGGCAGTAACCAATACACATCTTTCAACAATAATTTTAAATATCAATAACCTCAACTCCCCAGTCAAAAGACACAGACTAATTGACTGAATTAAAAACAAAATTCATCTATTTGTTGGCTATAAAAAACTCATCTTACCTCTGAGGATAGGTAATACATTAGGGTGAAAGAATGGGGAAAAATACTCCAAGCAAATGACACCAACACGCAAGCACACAATGTGATTCTAATATCTGAAAAAAAAAATAGACAAAATTAATCAGAAAAGATGAAGTGACTTCATCCTGATCAAGAAAATAATTGACCAAGAGGACACAACAGTCATGAACAACCATGAATAATCATGAACACCAAACTCTGGTGCACCCAATTTCCTGAAAAACAGTACTAGAGGACTTCAAGACACAGATTAACACCAACTCAGTAATACTAGGGGACTTTAGCTCCCCACTTTCTCTAATAGAACAATGGGACAAAGAATAAACAGAGAAACATTTGAATTAAATAATATTATACATCAAATGGACCTAACAGGTATCTACAGTATATTCCACTCAAGCACCATAGAATATGCTTTCTACACAGGAGCTCATGGACTAGATGCAGAAAAGGCCCATGAAAAAATCCAGCATGGATTTATGATAAAAATCATAGAGGGAATTTTACTGGAGGGAACATACTTCAACATAATTAAGACTATATACAACAAACCCATAGCCAACATCATTCTAAATGGAGAAAAACTTGAAGCAGTCCCATTAAAATCAAGAAACAAACAAGGCTGTCTACTATCGCCACTCTTTTTTCAGGATAGTACTTGAAACTCTAGATAGAGATAGAAGACAAGTGAAGGAAATTAAAGAGATACTAACTGAAAGAGAAGAGGTCAAATTATCCTTATATTTAGATGGTTTGATATTATTAACAGATCCCAAAACTTATACCAGAAAATTTCTAGAAACAATCAACACTTTAAGCAAAGTGGCAGGTTAAAAATCAATCTACAAAAATCAATAGTCTTCTTAAATACAAGTAACAAGCAATCAGAAAAAGCGTTTATGGAAACACTCCCATTCACAATAACCTCAAAAAATTTAAATATCTAAAGAGAAACCTAACCAAAGACATTAAAGACTTCTTCAATGAAAACTTTAAATCTTTGAAGAAAGACATTGAGGAAGACACAAGGAGATGGAAAGACCTCCCATGCTCATGGATTGTTAGAATTAATACAGTGATAATGACTTTCCTACCAAAAACAATTTTCAGATTCAATGAAGTCCTAATCAAAATTCCTGTGATGTTCTTCAGGAAAAATCTATCCTAAAATTAATATGGAAACACAAAAGACCCTGAATAACTTAAGAAACCCTGAGCACAGAGAGTGATGCTGGGGGAATTAGTATACCAGACCTCAATCGATATTACCAAGGTGTAGGCATAAAAATAGCATGGTGTGGACATGAAAAACAGACTTTCAGATCAATGGAAGAAAAGAGAAGACCCAAACATGCGTGCACACAATTACAACCACCTGATAATTGGCAAAGGTGCCAAGAACACATATTGGAGGAAAGACATCTTCAACAAATGTTGCTGACAAAATTGGATCTTACTATGTAGAAAAATGAAATTAGATCCATACATAACACAGAGGGAAATATATTACTTCAAAGTCCTATTAAAATACACATTCCATATATATAAGCACATATGTATAGATGAAATATATATATATATATATGTACATTGCCAGGCAGGAGAAACCTCCCTTTGAGATTTTGATCAGTTTATACTGGTAGACTCCCAAAATAACACAGACTATTGCTAGGGTCCTTGATTGTCTTCCAAAATTTGAAGGTAAGACCCAATTGCTGAAGACAAACAATACTTCAGACATAGGACTTGGAGCGATCGAGCTGGAACTGTTCTGGAAACCTCCTCAGCGAAGACCAGCTCCCATAGTATCAGAAGATACCATATAAACTGCTAAGGGAGAAAATCAATTAATGATTCTATTCAGATGTAAAGGCTTTGAACCATATAAATGACCAGTCAAGAAATTAATCTCTACTGGTGCACGAGTGTCACTTTTGTCTTGGAGTAATCAACAGCTGTCTAAGGCCCACTCAATGGGAGGGAACTTACATGTGGTACTATAAACACAGCAAAATATACATGGCCAGAGAGGTCATAGATCTTAGAGAAAACCTACTTTTTTCATACCCCTAGACCAACATAATTTCTTACTGTATTCTAAATACTTGTTCCTATATTTACAGACAACTGCATCTCTCACCAGTCATAAAAGAAGGTTCTTTTTGCAGCATATGGAGACTGTTAGCAAGTTGCACAACTTGTTGTCAAACACAGAGAATAAGTGTCTGTGAAGTGCCCAGCCCTAGATGACACATGTACAAACACAATCTCTCCATCTAAGGCTCAGGGAACATAGTGGAACAGGGGGCAGAAAGTTTATTAATGCACCTCTAAACTCTCACTAGCGAAGCTTCGTCATACAACAGATGGTGATTAATACAGAAAGTCACAACTGGCCAAAGTGAAAAGAATAAGAGACCACAAGGAAATTATCTCTGAATAGGACAAATATACCAAACTTCTGTCCAAGGTTCAGGGACCATTGTGGAAGAGGGGACAGAAAGATTTAAAGAGCCAGAGATGATTGATAACCATCAGGAAGCAGAGTGTTCCAATCACCTGGGAAGTTACTCATATGAACTTACAGAAATGGTAACAGCACACACAAGACCCATGTAAGCTAAAGCCATACAAAATCCAAGAATAGAAGTGGCAAAGTGGGTAAGAAGCCCCAGCTTTAGCTAAGAAACTATTGACAACTAATAACTACAGAGAGAGAGAGAGAGAGAGAGAGAGAGAGAGAGAGAGAGAGAGATTCCTTTAAGTGTGTGGAACTAGAAAGCCATGCTCCAGTGGATGGTTGCATATCGAATGGCATTTATGAACACAAACTTGGCT